ACTACTATATATATATATATATATATATATATATATATACACACACACACACACACACACACACACACTGTGGCAGAGCTTAAACCTTGTCCCTGCACTTCTAGGCAGTATATGCTAGCCTCAGTGGCTCACTGTGACCCTCCACATAGCCCTTCTCTCTCTAGGGCCAGGGTTACAGTCTAATGAGCCCTTTTCATCATAAGCCAGCAAGGAGGTTGGTGAGAGAACTCCCACAGTCTCTGTTGTCCCTAGGGACTTATTTCAGAACAGTTTAGCCTCCTGTCCTGACAGGGGCCTGACTTCCCCTCCCAGGAGGCGTTTCTGTAGCGGCAGGTTGGGGGGAACCCAAGCCCACCCTCTACTCCAGGTTCCAGCCCAGGGCCCTAATAGCAGCAGCTGTTGGCAGCTGACTTCACTGCCAGAGTTGCAACATTTCCCTAGGCCACTTCCCCACAGCTGTCCCGCTTCTTTCTTCTTCACCCTTACCAATGGCTTGAGGGTGTCTTCATTAACCAGCCCTTCAATCACACTTCCTCTCCCCTAGCTCTCTTCAGAGCAACTGGAGTGAGCCCTTTTGTAGTATCAAAAAAGGCCTTAATTAGAGTCAGGTGTTCACATTACCTTAATGGCCTCACCTAACTCTTTGCAGGTTAATTGGAGTCAGGTGTTCTCATTAGCCTGGAGCACCCCCTGCTCTGGTCAGTCAGGGAACAGAAAACTGCTAATCCAGTGCCTTCTACTGCTTTGTTGTAATCCTCTCCTTAGGCTGGGGGGAGGTCCTTTAGCAGTGGGCTTTGCCCGCCCACTTCCTGGATACCAACAGGACTACTTTGTTGTACGCAACTGGCCTGGGTCTATCACAATACATATAGATAGACATTGTGTGTGTATATACTCATGCGTGCAGTCAGTGAGACCACTTCCATAAACTGCTACAGCACACAAAGCCATGGCAGCAAGTTACTAACTGATCTTCTTAGCCTGTTGTTTGAAGAGTATTTTTCCAAGCCCCTCCTTCAGCTACCAGAAAGTGTTCAGAGTCAGTGGATGGACTTGATGCTTCCTTTTACAGAGAAGAGAGAATGAATGGGCATGCCACAGATGGGAAGACAAACCCTGCAATGTAAATCTCTCAGACTATTTTGCTCTGTACCATAGCTTGTGTTGCCACGTGCAGGTGTTGGCTGGACTTTTGTCCCCATCTTTCAGAAACAAAAAATATTTAGATTTTTCAGCAGAGAAAAACAAAACAAAACAAAAGTCCAACCATTTCGTCTGAGGAGATGGAAATAGGCTAAGAAGCTGCCCTCAGTCAACAAAGGGAGAGACCTCTAGCATGATGCGAAGCTATGCTTGGGGAGACAGCACAATGTCTACCCTGAAGATTACTTGTTGGAAAAGATCATAAGTATCTAATCCTTTTACCACCCTAGCTAGAAGCCAAATAAATATCAAGGCTAAAATGCAGGGAAATAGGGGCAGGAGGAGAGTGAAATCTACTCCTATAATCCAGCTGCAGCCTGCAGAGCTGCAATGCAGCTCCCCAGCGGCTGGAATAATGGCTACAATTCCTCTGCACTTTCATAGGATGTTGAGAGTCACTGCACCAGTATAAGCATGGATCCTACAGCCGTTCCCCTACCCTGACCTGCACCCATCACCAGGCTCTGTGCCGGCTTACATAGGCTAATTTATAGACTCAATCTGTGGCAGAGAGAGTGTGCAAAGAAACTCACAGTTGTGAATGATCCACTGTTGCCTACCTCTCCCCCATCCCAGGAAGCTGTCTAATGTGGCTTAAGGGGTGAAGAGAATCTCGTGTGGCCCTTTCCATCGAGGTGAATTTGACCCCAAATGAAGAATAAAAGGCACAGAATGGCAGTAAAGTGCTCTTAAAACTGCAGCCGATTTTGACATTCTTACTCTCACAGCCTGCTCTTCGAATTGCACATCCACCAGGAATATTTACAATCACTGTGGAAGGTTTAATTGAGACATGATCTCGCTGCCTTGACTTAGTAATTTGCTGCCTGAAATGGCTCCTGGATGGTTACTAAGTTCTCACTGAGATGCCATTGTGAAGTACATCTGCCTTGCCAATTACATGTAACATCACATATTAATTGAATGTTTTTTTTTCTTTGCTTCAGCAGCTTCTTTAGCATATAAACGGGCAATTCCACCAGGTGGCATTCTCCTGTTTCATTTTATGTTACGGTAGGTCACTGGACAGCAGCAGGTGTTGAAAGATTTTCCTGTGTGCAATCAGCCCCACCCCTCACCATTGCTTTTTCAGGACATCACTTAAGCATGTACATAAGTTCTGTTGTGGATTGGGGCCTGATCCCATATAATGCTGAGCTCTCTCAACTCCTTCTGAGATGCACAGGTATGAGAACAATGAGGCTCAGGACCTAAACCCACGTAGATTGTTTTGTCCACAAACAGTTGTCATGCAGCAAGACACTGGATTTGTACGTAAAACACACCACATGGCAGAAGCCCCACCATTTTTTTTTTAAAGCTTTCCCTAGATTGGCCCTTTTCATGTTCTGGGATGCAGTCCGGCCCAGTGAAGGGTTGTGTCATCACCTGCCCAATAGCCCTGCTGGGGTAATGCTCTGCTGCTGCATCTCCCTTGTATGGATGCTCCCAACCAGAGTATGAGCATGCACAGGGTGTCTGGGTGACAAGCAACACTGGGCCAGCAGCTCTGACTCCGGCAGCCTGGTTGTCATACCACAGCCACACTCTGGCCTCAGACTTGGTTACACTGGGCAAAATGACCCCAACACCTCCCAGTCTCAAATTTCCCCAACATTTGCAATGTCCAGCCCTCTCCTGGACCACTCAGAGGAATAAGGTTTGTTTGTGTCTCAAGAAACAACCTGAACAGCTTATCCTTTTAGCTGGCCTTACCTATCACTTCAATTCAAACACAGCACTGGGTTGGTTTAGATTAAAAATGATACAAGTTTATTAACCAAAGGAGATGGGATTTTAGATGAATTCAAGGATAGACGGTAGAGTTGGAAATGGTTACATGCAAATAAAAGTGAAAAATGATTTCTAGAAACCAAAACTTAACAAAACCACAGTCTTGGGTCAAGGTAAGATTCTTATCACACTTCCTTCCAGCAAGAGGATTGACTACCCCTCTGGTCAGGATATTCCACAAAGCCCAAAGTGCTTTGTTCCTTTGTCTCCTTAGGTGAAAGATCACTTGGGGTTCTTTGCCCCTCTCTCTCATAGTCCAATGAATCTTTGAAATGGATTCTTCTGAATGCTACTCCTCAAAGTAAAGCGCATTCAAGCTGTGAGAAAGGAGACATGGAATCTGTTGGTGAAGGAAGTTCCATGCTAGTTTCTTCCCCCGCTGGTGTTTGCTAAAATAAAAATTGATCTGTTTCCTGCAATCTGCTCCCTCCCTCTTCCCCCCGCCACGATGCTGAGTGGTTATCTCCTCCCTTTGTTGGCTCTATGGTTTTGTTTACCTTTTATGGAAATTGCATTCCCATTGTCTCTTAATGCACGTTGGAAATACCTTCATGGTGGCAGAACCACATTCTTTTGTCTAGGGTAGGGTAACTTCAGCCCTGCCTGACAGGCACATATTAAGAACATAATTCCCAATATGTTTGTAATTTTGGATTTGTCCTCCATACATATACCACGCAATAATACTAATGATCAGTGTGTTATTAGATTTCTATTGATACCTTACCTGACACTTTTAGATACAGGTTATGACTGTAGTGAGTTGGTGTTGCACACTGACCTGAAACTCACTACCAGATACCAGTGAGCCCCTTGCCCTCTTGCATTGGGATTCTGTTGGGGTCACAGTCCTGTTATTCAATTCACATCACATGGGGATTAAGCTGCATGGCTCCCATTAAAATGAATGGAAACCATGCAGCTAAATCTCAGAATCCCTTGTTGGAAAGTTATCCCTTTGAATCCTGGAGAAAGATACTTATGGGTGAGTCACTAAACTGCTACTTTAACTGCTCCAAATATTAGCTTC